TACCACCCGTCCTTGATAAACATTGTGACTGTAGCGGTTGCCACGTGGGCAGGAACAGCAGCAGCAGCAGCAGCAGCAGCAGCAGCAGCAGCAGCAGCAGCAGCAGCAGCAGCAGCGGGAGCAGCGATAGCACCAGATGGGCGGAGGCGCGAGTGACATGCAGACGCGTGGGCGGGGCGGCGGGCACCAGCATTTCACACTTCACTTTCGATGCGGAGTTGATGTGGCACGCAGGAAGCGGCGGCGCCTCCGATGTCGAGCCACATCTTGGAACAAACGATAGACGTGGCACACAGGAACATAGTCAGAAGCACAAGCGGCGGCGGCACCAGCAGTAGCAACACTGAGTAGACCTTACCCCTCCACGTAGTAATGCGGGAATTGCATTGGCTAGGACATGTGCTCGTGAATTCCGGTTCTGTTTCAGGCTATCTGGAGGGTGGGGCGGCGGGGTGGCCGATTTGTCGTGTGCTCGCATGTTTTGGATGCTCCAGTCAAGCATAATTTATGTGGCGTGTGTTCCGCATGCGCAGCTGCTGGATCTTCCGACGTGCGCTGTATTGTGCCATGCTGCTCGGTCGGGACCAGGACACCGAGTGACGAACATGGTAGGCCTTCGTGGGAAAGTGGCGCCCCCTGCAGGAGAGCCGAACATCGTCATGAAAGTGCTTCTTGTTAATATTGTGCGTGATATCTTTTGCACGTGTTTTCATATTTTCTTTTCCGTGTCTCTCTTCTCTCTTCGCTCGTGTCCCGTCTTTCTTCACTCTTGTCTTGTCCTCCTCGCTCCTCCTTTCGCTCTTCCATCCTCCTGCCGCTATCTGCCGTTTTCCCTCCGCCGTCGTTCCTCCGTCCTCCTTCCCTTTCCCTTCGCGTCCCTCTCCGCCCCCCCCCGTTCCATTCTCCATGTTCCGTAATTCTTTTCCCACCCTTCTCCTTCTACACTATTTTTCTCTTTTCCCTCTTTACACCCCTTATCCTTTTCTCTCTTCCTGGTCCTTTGCACTTGCACCCTCTTCCGTCCGCCGGCTTCCATCTGCGTCCTTTTGGTATTCTGGAGTCCCATCTAGAGGGTCCGACATGGCTTTTGAAAATACTTGTCCACTAAGAAGGCTTTGCATCTCGCTGCGGGATCCTACGCTGCATGCCACCCTGACCAAATGAATCCGCTCGCATCGTGCCGCCACGCCTTCGACAGCGTCCGATAGGACGGCGACACGCAATCAACCCAGCCGCCAGGGTGGGGAGCAGACCTGCGGCCATACGCCGGGCAATCTCAGGCTCTGCCCACCTTCTCCCCTTGCTGGAGAGGTAAGCCTGCCGACATAACATGTCCCAGTGTTTAGGTTTACGTATGTAATCTTTCGCTCCTTCGATACATTTCCTGGGCCTGTTTTCCACCACCATCATAAGTTGGAGGATGGGAGGAGGTGGAGGAGGAGGAGGAGGACGAGGAGGAGGAGGAGGAGGAGGAGGAGGGGAGCATAACAGGGTACAGCTTGTGTGTGTGTGTGTGTGTTTGTCTGTGTGCGTTCTTCCGCCTCCAGACAGAAAGCGCCTGCCGTCTCCCGGCCCGCTCGAGTGCGCGTGCGGACTGCCTCTGCCGCGCTGCGGCTTGAAAAGTGCGCGTGTGTGTGTGTCGCCAATCTCCTGGCCTTGACGTGAGGCCCCTGCTTCTGCCTTCCCCCCTCTGTTAATCAAAGCTGTGCGCGGCCCGCTCAGCTTCGACCGGAAGGGGTGCGCTCTCGACCCGCGGATCAGAAAAGTGTGTCGTCAATCCTGAAGCAAGATTGGCTGTCTAGTCTAAGGTTTTGTTATGGCAGGTTGTTCCCGCGACCGTCCATAGGTCTATTGAAACGCTCCCCCGAGGTACGGGATTTTCCGATGGATAGTTGCACATGCAGCCACGTAGTCGAACGCCCTTGAACGTAGAATATGTTCGATGCGGATTTCCGTGAGGCTTTCTTCTGTTGGCCCAGAGAATATGAAACAAGATACTCTTCAGTGGCGATGTCTGTTGGGTGTGCGTTGCCTTTGTGACATATTTCGCGACTAGTTTCTTCTTTGTTGTTCAGCTTGCCGTTCCTGGTTCTTCCACCCTCGTAAGTGCGCATTGGTATTTTCCACGCGTGTACAACCGAGGAATTGGCCATCTGGCAGGCGGGCGTCAGCACTGGGCGCCGGCGTCGACGTGCCATGCCGAAGGACATCACTGCTCGGGAGCTTTTCTTCTCTTGTTGACGTATTTCGGTTGAGCTCTGTGACCGCGCACGCGTCGTGCTCGAGCAGAGGCAATTGGTGCCTTGAGGCCTGTCGCTTGCTCGGGCCGTCCTGTTCCCTGTGCACGCACCAGGCTTTGCCCCTGTTGCTGGTCGCTCTCGCCCTCGCTCCTCCCGTCCGCATGCCGCCCATGGAGTTGCCCGCATTCCGCTGGTGCGCTTGCCACACCTGGCCTCCGCCCTGGTTCCGCATTTCTTGGTGACGCCTGGAGCGAATGGCCCCTCACTGCAATTTTCCAACGTGCGTGATAACTCGAGCGCCCGCGGGGTAGAGTTCGTCCCGAGTTCCTCCTCCCCCCCTCGTTCTCCGCATCGTTTCTTCATCCTCTTCCCGAGTTCCTCACGCTCTCGTCTCCGCTTCCCTCTTGCTTTGCAGGATGTTCCTGTATCAGTTTTCTCTGGTCGCTTCTAGCCTCTCCACAGTCCTGTCGCGCCTGTCTTCCCAGCCATGCTACGAGACTTCCATGAGATGCGGGAGAAGTGAAGAGGGAGAGGGGAGGCGTGGTAGTGTTGGTAGACAGGATAAAGACAACAGTCCATAATGCTTTGTATGGACTCCGTGTGTATTCTGGTCAACTCAGCCCGCCGAGCGAGTGAAGGCCAAACTCTGAATGGAATCCCACGTCCATGTCTGGTGCCATTTCGTGTTCCTCCAGGTGTTTTCGAAAACGGGCCTTCAAGTGAATCTTGAACGCGCTGTAGCGGAGTACCACGAGCTAGTTATATTGTTATCGGTTTGTGAAGAGTGCCTTCACGTTTTGTGTGTTGTCAATGTCGACGCGCACCTGTGTCAAGCGTCCATGCAACAATTTGCATATATTTGAATCGCTTGTTGTCATGTCTATAGCAGACTGGTCTAATAGGCCTCCATCGGAATTCAGAAGACGTAGGTGTATTTTGGATCGAATGTGATCTCGTCCGTTGTGAGATATGTTAGCGGTGACACATTGATGACAATGGTGGGCCTAGCAGGAGCCGCGATTCCGTCAGATGTATCCACAATTCGCTGGACAAGGACACATTGCGCCGCGAGCGGATCAGCAAGCTTATCGACGGGGTACCCCTTGTGTGCATACTCGTTGATGTTCCCATGCTTTGACGTTTCAGAAACGCACGCATGGTCACAATAAGACCTATCTACTTATGGGCGGGCTCCAGTTTATCTTCATGCTGCCTCAGAAGTCATATTACTGTTTGCACTTGCAGTTCGCTTTTCTGTCGATTCGGAGATAGATAGCATCCTAGCCGGCTTGCGCCTCTCCAGAAAGCTCTGCATTGGCTTGAGCGCTGTCGAGTTTCGCAACTACCGCTTGATATCAATCTCGCATCGTCGATTTGCATTGGGATAAAGCTCCATTTGGGCTACTATGTGTTATGGTTGCCGAAATTGCACTGCGAGTAGCAGGAGTGTTGCCTTCGGTGTAGATTTCGTCTTTGGCTTTTGGTTTTGTACGATCGCTGCGGTTTTCTTCAACGGCAGTCCGACTTCTGTTTTGTCTGCATGCCTTCGGCGTTGTGTTTGGTTTGGGACGTCCTCGCAGTTGCGTCCCACTTTCGATGGTCGAGACCTTCTCGCAGTTTTGCCCTCAAGCGCCGGACGACATAGACTTTTCACGCCGCAGCGCGGCAGAGGCAGCCCGCACGCGCGTCAAAGCAGGCCGGTCCACGGCACTGCGAATGGCCCCGCACGCCAGAGAGGGTGAAGGAAGAGGGCCGGCCGCGGAGAGGGAGGGAAAAAGAGGGGGGCAGGCGCACCGCCGCGGCGAGGGCAGCGGGGCGCGGGGGGCGGCCGAGCCGGTGCAGCCGCCCCTGGCGGCGGGCGCGGGCCGGCGTCACGAGCGCACCTAGGGGTGGGTACAGCGGCTGCGGTGCAGGGTCGACGCCCGGCAAGCCGGAAGGGCGGAGGCCAGGGCTGCAGCGATGACGGCGGCCCCAGCAAACCTGCGGGGGGGAGCTGGTGCGGCTGCCGGGCGAGCTGCGCAGGCGAGCTGCAGTCACAGACCGGGAGCCGAGGTGGCTCGCCGGGCTGGCGACGCAGCAATCCCTGAGATCCGACGTATCGCGAGAAATCACGACTGGAGCCCTAGACCCCAGCTTTCTGCGTCGTTCGTCGGGCTGGATCGATTTGTGAGGGTCCCGGGGCCCGGATGAGGCGACAACGCGGGGCTCGAGGCAGTGGAGACGCCAGGATCCCCAGGACAGCGAAGGCGGGGGGCGTTTTCGCGGCGCAGGGCGGGCGGGGGGCCCCGAGGAGGAGGAGGAGGCGGGCGGAGAGGCGGGGCGTAGCCAGTGCGGCCGGTTGGGGAGCCACGAGGCCCGGGCGACCGCGGGAGCGGCGCGCGGGGGCCACGCAAAAGGCCATTGGCGGGCGGGGCGTGTGGGAGTGTGTGTGTGTGTTTGTGTGTGTGTGTGTGTGAAGTCCGCTCATACCACTTTTCTATCCATCCATCCCGCTACCGTCTCGGCTCAGGTTTTCGAAAGTGGTGCCGCGCCGCCTGCCCGCGGTGCATGGGACCAGGGATCGCTAGCCTCTCCCTGACCTTCTTCTGCCTACGGACATCTCGGTAGGTTCGACTCTTCGGTCGTCAATCTACATGCTCAAGGGGCGTGGGGCCGGGAGGCAGCAGAGCCAGGAACAGGCTGGCGCACGCAGCCCAGCGTGGGGGGCAGCACCACATGGGCAGACGTCTGGGACTGTGACCATCTGTGTGACGTGCGCGTCCGCGGCATGTCGTGTGGGACGTCCCCCCGGCTCTCGCTTTGGGGGCCCCCGCCGCCCAGAAATTGACCATCCTGCACGTGTGGCCCCGGCGATTCGAGTTGCACAACAACTTCAATTTTGCTCACGGGTTCTCTGCTTCTTCTGTGCAGGGCCCGTTGACCATTCGCGTGCCAGCCCCTGGGCAGGGGTCGCCCGTGGCGCACAAGGGGGGGGGGGGGGCGTGCGTGGGTAGACGATCGAAATTGCCTACGGTAACCCCCCCCGCCCCCTGCCTTTTTAGGATACGCCTCTGTGCCGAAACGATTGGGCAAAGTTTTTTGGCACGCTGCTGGACCATGCGTTCGCCCAGTCGTTGTGGAAACACCTGTGGGAAGACGTGGGGAAGAAAGAGGATGATGATGAGAGGGATAAAAGAGGAGGAGGAGGAGGAGGAGGAGGAGGAGGAGGAGGAGGAGGAGGAGGAGGAGGAGAGGATGATGATGATGAGATGAGGAGGAGGAGGAGGAGGAGGAGGAGGAGGAGGAGGACGAGGAGGAGGAGGAGGAGGAGAGGAGGAGGAGGAGGAGGAGGAGGGGACGAGGAGGACGAGGACGAGGAGGAGGAGGAGGAGGAGGAGGAGGAGGAGGAGGAGGAGGAGCAGGAGGAGGAAGAGGCCTCTTGGGAGCCGCTTGGGGCACTCTTGGGGCCTCCTGTGAGCTTCCTAGGAGCCTCTTTGGCCGTCTGACGGTGTTCCTGGCCCCCAAGACGCCGTCGGAAGGCGTCTTGGGGGTCTCTTGGGGCCTTTTTGGGGTGTTTGAGGGCTGTTTTGGAGGCCATCTTGGGCATCTTGGAGGCCTCTTGGGCCGTCTTGGGGCTCGTTTGGGGCTGTCTCGGGAGCCTCTTGGGCCGTCCTAGGACCATCTTGGAAGCCTCTTGGGCTATCTTGGTGCGATCCTGGGAGCCCTTTGGGCCGTCTTGGGCCGTCGGAAGGCCGGAAAGATGTTGGCCTCTTTGGGCCCTCCTGGAGTACCTCTTGGAGGCCTCTGGGGCTGTCTTGGAGGCCTCTTGGGGGCCTGTGGGGCCGTCTGGAGCCGTCTTGGAGGCTTCTTGGGCGAACTTCGAGGCATCTTGGACTCTGTTGGGCCGTCTTGGAGGCCATCTGGGACCGTCTTGGGCGAACTTGGAGGCGTTCTTGGCCGTCTTGGAGGCCGTCTTAGAGGCCGTCTTGTGGCATCTTGGAGCCATCCGGAGCGAAACAAACCCCTGCCAACCACCCCACCCAGAGCCTTCTGGGTGGCCAGCGTAATAAGCCGAAGCCCCACGGGAAATCTTGAAAAGAACAAGTAACCTCTAAGAAATCTGGCATGCCAGGCACCCCTGTGATAAATCAACAGGGGGCAGCGGATCTAATTTTTGTCGGCCCATCCCGCCTCCGTGCCTGGGTTGTGGGGCAGACTTCTCAGGGATGCTTCTTGGGGTCTCTTCGGAGGGCTCTCGGGGGCCTCTGGGGGCAGTGTTGAGGCAGGCCTCTTGGGAGCCTCCTAGGGGTCTCTTGGGGGCCTCTTGGGACTTCCTGGGGGCCTCTTGGGGCTTTTTGGGGGCCTCTTGGGGCCTCCTGGGAGCATTTTGAGGCGGAAGGTTCGAATTTTCGTTGGGTGTCCCCCCTCTTGAGCCCTTCTTGGGCCGTCTGGGAGCCCTCCTGGGCCGTCTTGGGCGCCTCTCGGGCCGCCTGGCCCTGTTGTGCCGTCTTAGGGCGCTCTTGGGGGGCCTACTTTGGCGTTCTTGGCGGCCTCTCGGGCTTTCCTGGAGCGTCGAGCAGACGAAACAGCGAAAACGCTGAAAGCATTGGAAAACCATGGGAAGATATGCGATTTTGGCCTCTTGAGGCCCTCTTGGGACGCCTCTTGGGGCTCTCGTGGGGGTCCGGAAGGGAACATCATTCAAACCAGCAGGGTTATTATAACTTAAGTCTGGATTTGTATCGTTTACAGGTCTTTCATTGTTGCCAGCCTCAAGGCGACCTATCTCTCCCTGGCCACCAGGATCACTTAACTCCAGAGTTCAGTCATTCCCTAGGCCGCCCTTGCCCCTCACCCAGCGGGAAAAGGGAAGCAAATGGAAAGAAGGAAACGGAAGGAAACGAGACGGGAAAGGACACAAAAGGAACGGGGAGGGAAGCGGGAGGATATGAGCGGGAAAAGGAGGGGAATCGGAAGTAAAAGAGAGGGAAAATGGAAGGGAAACGGAAGGACACGACACGAAAAGGAAGGACAACGGAAGGAAAAGGGAGGGAATCGGAAGGAAACGAGAGGCACAAGTAAAAGGAAACGGAAGGACATTCGAGGCAAAAGTCAAGGAAACGGAAGGAAACGAGAGGGAACATGACACGGAAGGACAAGGGAACGAAACGGAAGGACATGAGAGGGAAAAAGAAGGGAACCGGAAGGCAACGAGAGGGAAAAGGAAGGAATACGGAAGGAAACGATCTGGAAAAGGAAGGGAGTCGGAAGGAAACGAGAGTGCAAAGGACACGGGAGGAACACGGAAGGAAATGGAGAGAAACGAGAGGGAAAAGGACACGGAAGGAAAACGGAAGGAAGCGGAAGGAAACGAGAGGGAAAAAGGCTACGGAAGGAAAATGAAACGAAAAGGACACGGAAGGAAAAAGGGAAGGACACGGAAGGAAAAGAGAGGGAACAGGACACAGAAGGAATCGAGAGGGAAAAGGATACGGAAGGAAAAGGGAGGGAAGCGGAAGGAAATGAGAGGGCGACGGAAGGAAAAGGAAAGGAGACGGAAATAAATGGGAGGAAACGGGAGTAAACGGGATGGCAACGGGTGGAAAATGCAGGGCAACGGAAGGGATAAGGAGGGAAACTGAGCGAAAAGGGAATGAAACGCCAGGAAAAGGGAGGGAAACGGAACGAAAAGGAAGGGAAACAGGATGAAAAATGATGGAAACGGAAGAAAAAATGGATGGGCGCGGAAGGACATAGGAGGGAAACGGAATGAACAGGGAGAGAAACGGAAGGAAAAGGGAGGGAAACGGAAAGACACAGGGAGGGAACACGGAGAGGAAACGGAGGGACATTTGGAGGGACAAGCGGGAATGAATCGGAAGGACAAGAGAGGGACACAGAGGGAAAGGGAAGGAAAGGAAAGACACCGGAGGGAAAGGAAGGAAGCGGGAGGGAGTTAATAGGGAAAGAGATTGGCAGGAAGGAAACGGGAGGGAAACATAGGGAAGAGGGTGGGCAAGGAATGAAGAGGGAGGGATACATAGGAAAACGGGCGGGGAAGGAAGGGGATCCGATGGAAAAGAGAGGGAAAGAAAGGCAAGGGGAGGGACCGATAGGGAAGGAAAGGGAAAGGACGTGGTTTTCCCGTCGTCATCATTTCTTCCGGCCTCCATCTTTTCCAAATCTCGTCCTCTCTCTGTTTCGGCTTCCCCTTCGGCACCGCCTGTACTCCGCACCCTCCGGCCGCCTGAGGCCCCGCCCGCCCGCGCCCTGTCTCCCCAATTAGTGCTTCGCGCGCCCCGCCTAGCTCTTAACCGGAAGAGGCCCGCTCTCGACCCGCCGACCCCCCCCAAAAAAGTTTCGGCCTCCCCGTCGTCCTCCTCCACACGGGCCCACTGGCACAAGCGAGCGCAACGACGCACCGCAGGTGCGCAGTTTCACGCACGCGTGGCATACGCAGACGCGCATACACGCGCGAGCGCACATCACGCATACACTCAGACATACAGACAAATACACTTCCAGCTGCCAAATTGGGTGGCCCAGGAGGAGGAGGAGGAGGAGGAGGAGGAGGAGGAGGAGGAGGAGGAGGAGGAGGAGGAGGAGGAGGAGGAGGAGGAGGAGGAGAAGGGGGGCTTCGCCTCGACGGACCGAGCAGTGCAATTCCTTCTTCGGCGGGAGGCTGGCGAGAGGCGGCGGCAGCGAAGCACGGGCGCGGCTGTGCCGGCGGAAGGCTTTTGCGGAAGCCCGCGGGAGGAACGCGCGCTCCCCCCCGGGCATGCCGATAATTGTGGCGTGTGGTCTTCGGATTGAGCTCTCGGGCCCAGGCTTCCTTGGTTTCCCGAGTTTCGGGGCTCCTTGTTTTCACGTGCTCGTAGTTGGTCGCAGAAGCAGTTGTAAAGGCACCCTATCGGCCGAAACTGCTGCAGGCTTCGCCACCGTGCCACCGCAGCGTCTTAGGGCTGAGTAGTTTAGAGGATGAGTAACCTGACTCTGATGGCGATGATGATGATGATGATGATGATGATGATGATGATGATGATGATGATGATGATGATGATGATGATGATGATGATGCTTAATGTTGATGCTGATGCTGCGGATGATTAGGATGATGTTGATGGTGACGACGATGACGATGATGACGATGAGGTTGACGATAATGATGATCATGATGATGATGCTGAGGGTGATGATGCTGCTGCTGCTGCTGCTGATGATGATGATGATGATGATGATGATGATGCGGAGAATGGTGATGATGCTGATGATGATGCTGATAATGGTGCTGCTGCTGCTGATGATGATGAAAATCATGGTGCTGATGAATAATATTAGGATGGTGATGCTGATGATGATGCTGCTGCTGATGATGATGATGCTGCTGCTGATGATGATGATGATGGTGCTGGTGGTGATGATGACGATGATGCTGCTGCTGATGATGATGTCGGTGATGATGATTGTGATGATGATGATGCCGATGCTGCTGCTGCTGATGATGATGATGATGGTGCTGGTGGTGATGATGACGATGATGATGCTGCTGATGATGATGTCGGTGATGATGATTGTGATGATGAAGCTGATGATGATGCTTCTGATGATGATGATCATGATGATGCTGATGATGCTGCTGCTGATGATGCTGATGATGCTGCTGATGCTGCTGATGCTGATGCTGCTGCTGCTGCTGATGATGATGATGATGATGATGATGATGATGATGATGATGATGATGGTGCTGGTGGTGATGACGATTATGCTGCTGCTGATGATGATGTCGGTGATGATGATTGTGATGATGATGCTGATGATGATGCTGATGCTGCTGATGATGATGATGGTGATGATGATTAACTAGCTCCCTCCCCTAACAGTAAGAAGGTCGTTTGGAAGATCTGGCCCCTTCTGGGAAGGTCTGACGGCAGGTGCTGCCGACCCTGAAGGGGGGCGACGACGACGACCACCACCACGACCACGACCACGACCACGACCACGACGACAACGACGACGACGGCGACAACGGCGGCGGCGGCGGCGCCAGCGACGACGACGACGACGCTGACGTGGGTCGGAGTCGTCGCGGGGGGCTTCTTGGGCTTTCTTCGGAGCGCTCTCGGGTGCCTCTGGTGGGCAGTTTTGGGGCCTCCTGGGAGCTTCTTGGGGGTCTCTGGGTGGCCTCTTTGGGCTTCCTGGGGGCGGAGGAGAAGGAGGAGGAGGAGGAGGAGGAGGAGGAGGAGGAGGAGGAGGAGGAGGAGGAGGAGGAGGAGGAGGAGGAGGAGGATGAGGTGGAGGAGGAGGAGGAGGAGGAGGAGGAGGATGAAGGAGGATGACGATGACACTTTGGGCCTCCTGGGGACTTCCTGCGGGCCTTTCGGAGGCCTCTTCGAAGCCTCCCTGGGCCTCCTGGCGGCGTTTCAGCGCTTCTTAGGAGCCTCTTGGGCCGTCGTAGGGCATTCCGGGCCTGTCTGACGCTGTCGAACATCCGTCTTGGATGCCCCTCTGAACCGACTTGGGGCCTTCTTGGGACGCTCCAGGGCGAGGCCATCTTGGGCGTGTCGGAGGCGTCTTGAGCCGTCTTGAGGCCCTCTTGGGGCCGTCTTACAGGCTTCCTTGGAGGCCTGTAGGGCCATCTTGCGGCGATCGGGTGGGGCTCTTGTGCCGTCTTGGGCCGTCGGAAGGCCGAACAAAAAGCAAAGGGCAACATCCTTCAAACACCTGAGGGAAATCGCTGATCTTGGCCTCTTCCAGCCCTCTTGGAGGACCTCTTGGAGGCCTCTTGTGCCGTCTTGGAAGCCTCTCGGGGCTTCTTGGGCTGTCTTGGGCCGTCTTGGAAGCTACTTGAGCGGACTTGGACGCATCTTGGATCCTCTTGGGCCGACTAGGAGACCTCCTCCACCTCCTCCTCCTCCTCCTCCTCCTCCCCGGGTCGCCTACGGCCCCGGGGGAAACCGTGCAGAAGCACCCCAGAACTCACGAGAGAACCCCCCGAAGACCCCAGGACGGCCCGGAATTCCGGGGGTCCGGGCTCTGAAGAACATTTAAATTTTGGCAGCAGCAGCGCAGCTGTGAGCTTTAGGGCACTCCACTTCGTGCCAGAGGCATGGTGGCGGATTCGCTGCTCCGTTTTTTTGCACATTGTATTGCTATGCAATGCAATGCCATGCTGTGCTAAGCGCTGCCTCGATGGCACATAGGGCAGTGCGAAGATGTGACGCGCTATGAAGTGACATGCAATGTAATATACTTGTATCCAATGCTATGCTTTTACATCACAGATGTTGCACGTCTTATCTGCGCTATCCGACGCGGCGCTATGCAACGCCATGCCATGCCATGACATGTGATACAGTGTACGTACTTTGCTGTTGTGGTTGTCGTGGTATCAGAATGTCTTCACGCCGTACGTGTGGTAAATTTTGTCCGGGTAGCGAATCGACAGCGAGTGGTATGGTTTATGATGCGACGCGCATGGGCACACGTATGGCATGGACTTGTCGTGCTCTCCGACCCAGACGCTTGCCTATGGGGTAATTCGCCACCCACTTGATTCTTCGTCGAATGGCTAGCTGCAGGTACAGCCAAAGCGTACATCTGGATTTTCCGAAGCACCTCTCAATTGACTTGTGCTTCAGGGCCTTATCTAAAATGGCCGTCGGCCCATCCCGCCATGATGCTCCTGGTCGTGCACCAGCGGGTTCTCACAGGCTCGCTGGGACCTCCTGTGGACTTCTCGGGGGCTTAGGGACCGTTTTGAGGCGACTTTTTTTGGGGCCTTGGAGGTTGCCAAGGACTAAAAGGGATTTGGACACTCTTGTCCCCTCGGGCCAGCTCCCATGGTCTCCAAAACGCCCCAGGAGGCACCCAAGAGAGCCCCAAGACAGTCCCTCGGGGCCATCTTGGGACATGTGGGAACGTGGACTCTCCATCCACCACGCTGGCGTGCCACGAGCCCTGGGATCGCTCAGGAGCTCCGAGAAGCGCCCGAGAGTTCCAGAAATCTGGGCCCTGGCCCCTGCCAACACAGGGGCTTGAAGGCACTTCACTCAGTGCGTAGTGGCATGGTGGCGGATTCAGGATCAATAGCAGGCGCACGGGTGTTCCTCAGAGGAGCCAAATGTACCCATACCGCTACCCTCACCTCGTTTTTCCTATTTGGTCCTCCTGGGAGGCCCCGGTCGCCACCGCTGGATTCGCCTCGAAATCCTGGTCATGACGCACCCCGGGAGAGGTCGGGGGAGTAGCGGTATCGGTACCTTTTGGTTTCCCCAGCTTCAGATCAGTTCAAGTAGAGGCGATCTACGCAGCGCAAGCTGACAGCAGGGCTGGGGCAGGTCACGACGTCGGCTGGGGAGTGGTGGGCTGTTCCCGCGCAGGACACGGGTACGACGACGAGGGGGGGCGGAGGATTAGGAGTAGGAGGTTGTTGTTGCCGTCAGCGCGAATGCGTCTCACCACGGCGCATTCGGAGGAGGAGAAGGAGGAGGATAATGTAGAAGGAGGAGGATCATGCGAAATGAGGAGGAGGAGGAGGAGGAGGAGGAGGAGGAGGAGGAGGAGGAGGAGGAGGAGGAAAAGGAACAACGATGAGATGAGGATGATAATGAGGAGGAGGAGGAGGAGGAGGAGGAGGAGGAGGGGAGGAGGAGGAGGAGGAGGAGGAGGAGGAGGAGGAGGATGCGGAAGGGAATGCGTCCTGCTGGCCTCCGAAGCCCGCCCGCTCGGATCCCCGGCCTGCCTCGGCTCCAGGCACACCGCAGCGGCCGCCCACCCTGCCGCGCGCGGGGCAGAAGAGGCCATACTGGCCACCGTTAATTAGGGCCGTGGCCCGAGGCAGCACCCGGGGCCCCTTCCCGCCCTAGCCCTCCTTCTCCCCAGCGCTCGGGCCCGCTCCACTCACCGAACGCGCTCCACTGCCCGCCAGGTACCTACTCGCAGACGTCAGAAAAACGAGCCCACGTGTTTGGCCCGACGCGATGGATCGTAATCCACTGCGGGGGATCCAGGCCACCCGCGAGCACGCTGTGCGAGCAGTGGCGCGCCTCTCCTCGGGCCGCGGCCCGGGAGCGGCCAGGGTGTGCTCCGACCATTCCCTCGCAGCCTGCAGCTTGCCCCCCATTCTGCACTCTCGGTCCGAGGGGTGGGTGGCGGGAGATGCGCAGCCGGCCCGTATCATAAGGATGCGCGATCAGGATGCAAGGGCCTCGGAAGGCCGTTTCGAAGCTCTTCGAGCGGGGCGCGGCCAACGAAAGTGGCCGAGGACGGACCGAGGAGGCAGGGATGCAAGGGCACCCTTGGGACATTTGCCCGTCCTTATTATGCGGGTGAACTGTATAGGGGGGGGGGAAGGGCCATGCTTGCAGAGTGCTGGGATCTGTGGCTCCAGAGCGCAGGATTTCGAGAACCGCAGGGTCATGAGAGTTGTGAACTCGTACTACTTTCAGGCGATCCTCGTGGTGGCCATACTCGTCAGCGTGCTGCTCATAGGCAGGCGCGGGGGGTCCAGAGCAGGTCCAGGCATCAGATTTGGCGGAGGGAGAGGGGGCGAGCACGCCCTGCCGCGAGGCCTTCGGCTTCCGCCATTTTGTTGTTGTTGTTGTTGTTGTTGTTGTTGTTGTTGTTGTTGTTGTTGTTGTTGTTGTTGTTGTTGTTGTTGTTGTTGTTGTTGAAGTTGTTGTTGTTGTTGTTGTTGTTGTTGTTGTTGTTGTTGTTGTTGTTGTTGTGGTTGTTGTGGTTGTGGTTGTGGTTGTTGTTGTTGTTGTTGTTGTTGTTGTTGTTGTTGTTGTTGTTGTTGTTATTGTCGTTGTTGTTATTGTTGTTGTTATTGTTGCTGCTGTTGCTGTTGTTGTTGTTGTTGTTGTTGTTGTTGTTGTTGTTGTTGTTGTTGTTGTTGTTGTTGTTGTTGTTGTTGTTGTTGTTGTTTTTGTTGTTGTTGTGGTTGTTGTGGTTGTTTTGTTTGTGTGGTGTTTCGTTTGATTTGTTTGTTTTTTTGTTTGCCTCGGGGGACTGCCTCCCTGGCAGCCGTTGCGACGAGGAAGCGCCCGCCCTTCCAGCAGGGTGTCCCCGAGGACTCGTCTGCCAGAGGGACACCTCGAGGCAAGGACCCGCCGCGCTCATCTCCTGACGCAGAAGAGAACCCTCGCCCCCGCAGACTCGGCGCGAGGCGCTTTCAGACCCGCGCCGATATCCTCCTGGACCCTCCCTGTGCGGCCCGTCTGCCAGAGGGACGCCTCGAGGCAGTGACCCACCGCGCTCCTCTCCCGACGCAGAAGAGAAGCCTCGCCCCCGCAGACGCAGCGCGAGGCGCTCGCGGGTCCGCACCGATCTCCTCCTGCTGGACTCTGCCGGGCGCGGAGCAGCCCCGGTCCCCTGGAGGCTCTGGCCAGAGGTGCGGGAGCTGGAGCGCCCTTTCTCGGATCAAGGGGTCCTGCCAATGTGCGAGGGCGTGTCCCGGCTCCCAGATGCGCCGCTCTCCTTCTCCCTCGCCCTCCCTCTCCTCCCACTCCGCCCCACCCTCTCCTGTTCCGCTTCCTTCTCCTTCATCTTTTCTTCTGTCCCCCTCTCCCCCCCGAAGACGAGAGAAGGAGGAGCAGGAGTTGGGAGAGCCTCGCTATGACTCCCTCATTCCGCCTACTCCTCCTCCGTCCTTTTTTTCTTATGAGTAACACCGCACTGTCGCGCCCCCAGACGTGTTGGCCTGGCGTTTCGCCTGAAACTTCCCACTGTTAATGATCTTGAAACATGGAGTTTGCAAAATTTTCACGAATGGAGGGCGGGCTGTTTTCAACATGTGGCTCTAGCCGTAGCCCCGCGCACATTCGTTCAACAAATGTGCAGCCTTTTCGCGGATGGAGGGTGGTCTGTTTTCAAAGTCTAGCTCTAGCCTGAGCGCCGCGCTCGTCAGTTTTACGGATAGAGGTCGGCTCCTTAGTCAAACTGTGGCTTTCGCTGTAGCGCCGCGCACATTCGTTTCAAAAGGTTGCAGCAGTTTCACGGATGGAGGGCAGGTCGTTTTCAAAGTGTATCCCTCGCCCTGGTGCCGCGCACATTGGTTTGTTTATTGATGGAGGGCGGCGCGGTCGGGCAGGAGGGGTCACGGTCGTTGTCGGTCGGAATTGGCAGACGGGGGCCACGGGGCGGAAGGGGGGGGGTCGCAGCACGGTCGGTCGGTCGGTCGGAATACGCAGACGGGGGCCACGGGGCGGAGGGGTGCGGGGGGGCAGGCAGAGCAAGCGGGGGCGGCACGCACCCGGGCCACACCCTAGCACGTATTCCAGCACACGAAGCCGGCACACATCCCTGCACGTATCCCAGCACACGGAGGCAGCGCACAGTCCTGCACACATCCGAGCACACGAAAGCAGCACACGTCCCAGCACACATCCCAGCACACATCCCAGGCCAGCACACATCCCAGGCATGGTCGGCGGTCGGTCGATCGGAATAGTGCAGTGCGAGACCGGTAGGAATGACAATTAATACTTCACCAGTTTTTTATATCCCGCCAGTTCTGGTTAATTCCCGGGGTATGCAAAACCTGTGAATTACGGGTGATTCGTGAGTTGTTGAGTATCCCTGGTTTCTGATTTCATAACTCATAGTTCTTGAACACTCACGAGAAGAGGCTATTGATGAAGGATTGATAACTCATGAGTTTTTAGTAGCTAGTTATTTACCGATAACTCCTAATATAGTGATAACGTACGATTTGCATACATCGCGAGTTATCAATAACTCCCCGGTGGGACGGGGGACGGGGCGGGTCAGTGGCCTCCCGAGATTTGCCCTAGCCAGGAGTTGTTAGCAACTCATGACTTACAAGAACCTGTAGGGAACACCCTGCTGGCGACAAGCCACGCGAACGTTGACACCAGTTCAAGAGAACATGTAATGCTCCCCGCGTCCCTGTCCCACCTCCGACAGGATCGAGTCTGTGAGATAATCTCGCCCGCCTCGTTATCTCGTCTGCGTGACACGCGCGGTTCGGCGTTCACTCGTCCTTCTCCGCGCCCGCTCTCTCTCTCTGGCCTAGGGCACCATGGGTTGGGACTGGCAGTGCCCTCCGAGGCACCTATGGGAGAGTGGTGGCGGCAGTGGCTGAGCTGTGAGCTTGTCCGTGGAAGCAGTCGTGGATGTGAGGCTCAGGAGAGGACAGTGCTCCACGGGCCTGCGTGTGCCTGTGGGTCTGGCTCTGCCCAGGCGTTGAGATGGATTATCCGCAATACTTCAAGGTATGGTGGTCCCTGGACGTGGCATGCACGGTGGTCTTCTTGCTGGAGGTGCCGCTCGACAGCGGGGGGGGCCAGCATCAGGAGAGCATTGTGCACAGCGGGACGGCACGGATGATCCGGCCGCTCCCGCCCTGCGGGTTGGGCCGTGCGAGACCTCTCTGACAGGGTGTTTGGCACAGTCTTTAGCCCCATTCGCCAGTGCCTGGTCAAAAACCTCCCTGAAAGTCCCTCCGAGGGGGCCCCACTCTGCCGCCGCCCCCCCCCCTCCTTCAAGGTCCGGAACAGCCCGGGGACGACCCAAGAGCGCCCCAAACCGGTCCAAGAGAGCCCCTAAAAGGCCCAAGAGAGCCGCCATAAAGTTCCAGATCGTTCCAAGACGCCCAAGATGGCCTCCAGACGGAGCAAGACGCCTCCGAGACGCCCCAAGAGGCCTGCAAGAGCACCCCCAAGAGAGCCCCAAGAGACAAAAATCCTTGATTAGTCGATGGTTTTGGAAGGATTTTCGCGTTCTCGCCATTTCGGCTTACCGATGCCCTAAGACGGCCCAAGAGGCCCCCGAGATCGCCCCAAGACGGCCCAACAAGCCCCCAAGAGAGCTCCAAGACAGCCCAAGAGGGCCCCAAGGCGGCCCGAGAGGCCCCCGGGACGGCCCAAGAGGGGCCCCAGGACGGCCCCAAGAAGGCACCAAGAAGGGGAACCCGAATGAACATTTCGAGCTTTCGGTCCCAAGAGGCCCCCAGAGGCTCCCGGGAGGCCCTCAAGAGGCCCCAAGAGAGCCCCAAGAGGCCCCAAGAGGGCCACACGAGGCTCTCACGAAGCCCCCAGGAGGCCCCCAAGAGGCCCCTAAGCTCCCCCGCAGAGGCCCCCGAGAGCCCTCTCGCGAGACCCCAAGAAGCGTCCATGAGGACTCCGACCCCAAACCCACGCGTCACGACTTTCGATGTTGCGCACAACTTCGGTAAACTCCCAGGGAGCGGCCGGTGATGCGCCGCCGGCGTTCTCGGTGAGGACGAGGCAAGTGAAGCACACAGTGCGGGAAACATGAGCGTGCGGTTCGGACAGGAGGAGGAGGAGGAGCAGCAGCGGGAGGGGGCGAAGCACAGCCACCGGAAGTCAGGCGGGGAGAGCGGTGGCAGGAGCACGAAGGGCGTCGTCTGTCTCGTGGGATGTGTCTCTCCTCCTCCTCCTCCTCCTCGGGGCCAGAGCTCGGCGGCGACAGGCTGGTCGGCAGAGTTGTCGTGCGGACCTCATCTCGACCCTGCTACCTTCCCGAGATCGGCGATCGTGTGGCATCGTGGACGGCGATCAACGGAGAGGAAGCATGCTGCCAAATATATGTTTCAGATGTCTGAACGCGTTTTACGCATATCTTAGACATGGTTAAAACAACAGGTTTTGAGCATTCCCGGAACATTTTTCAAACCCGTGAAACATATATGTAAACTACATGATAGGACGGTTAGGGTGTCCATTGTCATGGCATCCACAAGTGTGGTATGCTCGCTGGAGCAGAGCCCCACAGCCATCCCATTCTCTGTCGGGTACATACGCCTGCGATGCGCGATGTTAGGAGGGGTGCGGCCAGGTGCTGCTGAAAGTTGTCGGTCTGGGCAGGCACTTCTGGAGAGATTGTTGGTCCATAGTGGACCTGGCCATGTTGCTCATGCGATCCCTTTCCTCTGCTTTCTCTCCGCTAGGTAACATGATCCACTGGCTGTCTTGCAAGCGCTGCATTTGCGATCATTGGACGCATGACTGAACTTCACCACTTCTAATGAGCCCGGCATCGGTTTCTTCTGTCAATGCGGCATCAGTTTCTGACTTCCTGCCGCAAGGCGGCCGCTCGTTTATGCGTGTGTTGATTCCTTCGTTAACTACCGTTCCTGTTTGCGACGTGCCTGCATGTATGTTTTGCTTCCGTTCTTCTTCCCTGTCATACCAGCACCTGTTCGATCAGGTGTGTTCTGGTGTGTCATTCTCTGTTTGAGTATTTCGCTGGCTGCCTGCGTGCCTTCATCGGGGAGATCCACTCGTCGACAGCTGCATGCTGCATGCTCGCTGGGAACAGGGGAGGAGGAGGAAGAAGTGAGGAGTTGCCCGCTGGTCCCGTGCAGCATTGCAGAATGCCGGGGAACTCGCAAACCTTGCGAGGGAGAGAGCAATACATATATATGTATATATATATATATACATATGTATTATATATACATATCGAGAGAGAGAGAGAGAGAGAGAGAGAGAGAGAGGGAGAGAGAAAGACAAGGATACTGCTGAATTATGTCACGCCAGTTGTCGTCCGAAAGCGCAAGGGGGGGGACACAAAAAGAGACTTTGCGTACCTACACGCGCTCTTTCTGGGATTGTCGTGCTGGCGTGCCAGAACGAAGCTTAGTAATGCTCTGGGGTTCGTGCGAAACAAACGTCCGATACTCTCCTGAATTGTACGCAATTGGCAGAGTGGCGCTTCCATTTTCACTTCCAGGAGAAGGTGTGGGTTCTGCCATGGTGTTGCCCACTTGGTTGTTTTCCTCCAGCGTGGCAGCAACATGACATTTGCCCAGCGCGTGTGCCAGCTAGCTGGCAGTCTTGTTGCTTGCCCAGTGCGCTTATCGACTTCTTGGAGTACTTCACTGGCAACGCTGCGCTCTTGAGAGCGATCAAGAGCCTCAGGTGTCCGTGTGCTTCTTTTGTGTGCTCCTCTTTGCGTATGGAAGCTGGCTGCAGACTTCGTAATGTAGTCAGGTGAAATCCTGCAGGGCGTATGTAGATATGGACGTGCTGCCTTTTCGCCCGCTTCGCGGGCATGCGCACTCCCGCCAAGGGCTTGGGAAACACCTCTCTTGAATCCACGTTTCTGGAATTCGGTGCCGGAGATCGGGGACCCGAGGGGTGCGTTCGAACAACGCGCTTTGCACATGTGCACCCAAGAAGAAGCTCACAACGCAGGGCGTCAACACATTCGGCTGGACGCTCAGAGACGCCAAGGATAGAGCAGTAGTATGTATGAGTGCGATCAAAGTTTGCTGGTGTGACGTTTGCTTGCCGGAGCCTGGAATCCACGGCTCCATGTGCTTCCCTGAAGGAGTGGGGGATTTTGAGAAGTGCAATGTCGAGGGAGATGGGGCGCCTGGCAGGTGCGTGCGCAGCTTGCGCCTCTTCAAGGTCACCCCTGAGCGTCTGCTGATCAGCCATCGCTGGTCACATCGATCGGGTGATTACGTGATCGCGACAACAATGATCGGCCTGTGATCGTTGCGACGAGCGCCGCGACCGGCAGCGTGATCAGAAAGCGGTGCGACCACGGGGTCGGGTGGCGTGATGGGCCAGGTGATCAGTCAGACGCCAAGGTTTGCCCTCAGCTCCGCCGGACCAGCAGCCTCGTGGGCGACGCCATGCAGTCTGCGATCTGGGGCTGCGCGCTGCTGGTGGTCACAATCTACACGGGCGGCATCCTCTCCCACATTAGGGGAACGAGGAATGACATAAACCTAGAAACTCGGAGGTCCGCGCGGACTTCTCGGATCGGTGCCTGGGGCCCCCTGGCGGCGCCTCCGGCGCCGCCCAGGGCGCGCTCCGCGCGCCAGGGAGGGGGGTCGAGCGCCGATCCGAGCAATCCGCGCGGACCTCCGAGTTTTTTATGTTCATGTCATTGTTCGTTCCCCTACACATTGCTCTTCGAGACGCCGAGTCCATCTACCCGGGTTACGCCGAGACCGACGAGGACTTCGAGCCTTTGCAGGAGTTCAACCCGAACATGTACTTCGGATCCGTAGCGTACCGCCTGCGGCAGGACCCGCCACCGTGCCAGCGCAGCGTCGAACTCTGTGCAGGGTGGCCCTGCCGAGCCCCTCCGAACGGGATCGGCAGGGCCATCCCGGGGCTGTCTGGGAGGTAGTGCTGAGGTGCTGCAGTCTAGGCCTCCTAGATGGGGTCCGAGTAGATGGGGTCGGAGGATCGCGCCGCATCGCCGATGCATTGCCGATGCGGCTCGATGCGGAATCCGATTTTCTCCACGCCGATGTCGCCGATGCATCGCCGATGCATAGTATCCTGGGCCCCCCCCCGGCCTGCCGGGGGCCGTTCTGTGGGAATCTTGAGGCCGCCTTGGGCCAGCCCTCCCGGAGAGCTTTGCTCGAGCCATCTTCGGGCCGCTTGGGCGGGTCTGCCGCAAATGTAGAACAAAAAACCCGTCGTGTTTTTTTCCCCAACGTTTTTCGAGGAGGAGGAGGAGGAGGAGGAGCAGGAGCAGGAGGAGAAGGAGAAGGAGGAGGAGAAGGAGGAGGAGGAGGAAGAGGA